GCAAACTGGAGTAGGCAGAGGCTTAATACGTCATCCAGTCCTAGTATGACTGAGTGGCCTTAAACATACCAGCCAGCCTTTGGGGGTATCTATTTTCCCATCTATGATGTAAAGGGGTCTGGCCTTCCATTATTACACCACCTAACAAGCAAGAGACACTGTGTCCCCAGTTCTGGCACATGTAACTGTGATAGGTAATTTGATCAGATTAACAATGCTTAAGAGATTAGTGGAGTAGATTCTGATGTGTCTGAGAGCATTTCCAATGACAACTGGATCAGGAGGCTGTCCCTAACCAATGGACCAGCCCTTTAATAGATTCATATGACACCATTATTGGGAGGTGTTGAAAGTTAGGAGGTGGGGCCTAGCTGGACGAGGCAGGACACAAGCGTGTCAATGGGAACTATATTTTTCCCTAACCTCTTCAGGAATTCCCTTTTCTTCCTGAGATGATATGAATAGCTCTCAATGGGCTGAAACTGAGCTAAAATAAACTTTCTACCTCTAAGTGTTTTCTCTTAGGTATTTTGGTCACAGCAATGAAAAGCTAATAAACTAGCTTCTTCTTGAGCCTCAGAAACTGCTTGAAATCCTGTCTGGTATCCCAATGTCCTGGTGCAGACCTGGGAGGATGAAGGCTTCTTCCAAGCTTGTGCTAGCTGTCTTCAGGGAGGTTTTATGATAATCTTCATTTTACAGATGGGTGACTGAGACAGAGGTGAAGTGATTTTACCAGGGTCTCATCACTATACCTTTTTCTGGAGCTCTTCTCTGGGCTGCTCAGGAACCCTGAACAAACACATGTTAGAGCTCATAACAAGAAAAAACTCCCTGCTCAGTAATGGCCTGATGAGATTCTTCACTAGTTGTCTTAGTTTCTCTTGCTGTGAAGAGACACCATGACCATGGCAATTCTTTTTTTTCTTAATAACTTATTTATTTTTATTTTATGTACACTGGTGTTTTGAATGCATGTATGTCTGTGTGAGGGTGTCAGATCTCCTGGAACAGGAATTACAGACAGTTGTGGGCTCCCATGTGGGTAAATGGGAATTGAACTCCGGTCCTCTGGAATGCAGCCAGTGCTCTATTTTCTTAATTAATGTTTTTATTAATCATTCCTGTCATTTACATCTCAAATGATATTCTCCTTCCAGGTTGCCTCTTCACAATCCCCCCATCCTATCCACCCTCTCCCCCTCCCTTTTGTCTCTATGGTGGTGTTCCCCCACCCACCCACTCCCAGTTTACCACTCCAGCATCCCCCTATGATGGGGCATCAAACTTCCTTCCACAGAACCAATGGCCTCCCCTCCCACTGCTGTCAGACAAGGCCATCCTCTGCTACATCTGTATCTGGAGCCATGGATCCCTTCCTGTACACTCCTTGGTTGGTGGTATAGTCCCTGTGAGTGCTGAGTGCTCCAGCCAGCTAACATTGCTCTTCCTGTGGGGTTGAAATTCCCCTCTGCTGTTCCAGTCCTTCCACCAGCTCCCCACTGGTGTCTAAGAGCTCAATCTGATGGCTGGCTGTGAACATCCACATCTGCATTGGTCAGGTGCTGGCAGAACCTCCAAAGGAACAGACATGCCAGGTTCCTGTCAACAAGCTCCTCTTGGCAAGAGCAACAGTGTCAGGGTTTGGTGTCTGCAGACAATGGATCCCCACCCAGTTGGGGTGGTCCGCAGATGGCCCTTCCTTCAGTCTCTACTCCATTTTTTGTCCCTGTCTTTCCGTTGATCACATACACATTTCAGGACACAGAAGAAAGCAAGCAAAAAGTGGGGCAAGACTATAAACCCTCATAGCCCACCCCTAGTGATGTACTTCCCCCTGCACCTACTAAAGATTCCATAACTTCTCAAATGGTACCACTAACTGGGGAACAAGTATTCAGATATTTGAGCCTGTGGGGGCATTTCACAAGAAAACCATCATACCCATCAAAATTCAGTATGGGACTATTGAAAAGAAAATGAAGTGTGACCTTTTTTTCTTTGAAGTTTATTCAACACAAAATAATCTTTTACTTCACTGAGGTAGCTGACCATGTCCACAACCAAAGTCACCCTCTAAACTGGAATTCAGTTGCTGAGCCAGCCCCAGTCTCCGCTTTTTTGTTAGCATGAGGGCATAACAGTCCTTTTGTAGGTGTCTCTGTCTGCCTCCTCTCTTGTGAATCTTGCAGGTGGTTCACTCTCTAGAACTTGAGGCCATGGCCCACCGGTCTGAGGACGGCCGTGATGCAAGCCATGGAGGGCACTATCTCCAGAGGTAGCTGAAAGTAATCTCATGGATTGTGGATACCTTCATTTGTAAGGTGCCAATAGAAATGTCCCCAGGCACCCCAGTTGCAGTAGTTATTGGGTTAGGATGCTAACTTGTCACCATAATAGCCATTTACCCTGAAATTCTTTCTCAACAACATAACACAAATGCCTGTGTAGTGACCATCAAGAGGCATATGGGAAGCCTCCCCAATCTGCTGCTGCCTCCCCTTAGCTTGACACCAGCTACCTTATCCAGAACCTTTACATGGTCTAGAAAGGGACATCACAAGAAGATGCTGTATTAAAAGGGCCTCTAATGAGCACTTAAAAATACTTTCAGTTATCCCATCTCGAACAAGGTGGTGCAGGCCTCTGTGAGAACTGGTCCTTTCAGCTAGATAGTTCTTGGGAGAGAAGACTCGAAGTCTCATGTTTTGACTGGGTTTGTTTCATAATTACCACAGATGAAAAGTGCAGAAAATGCTTGTGGTGTATTAACTCTTTCTGTATTTAAGTTACTATGATTGACATACACTTATAATTAGATTCTGAACTGAAAAAAAAATGAAAGGCAGGAAGGGGGGAGAAAGGAACAAAAGAAGGAAAGAAGGGATGAAGGAAGGAAAGAAGGAAGGAACAAACAAACGAATGAACGAACAAAGATAGATCTACAGGCAAACTGCTCTTTTACATAGTTTTGAGACATGAAAGACTATATGGTCTTCATTACAGTAAGGTTGAGTACATCTTATTTGCCAGTGCAGGGTGTTTGATGATATAGTCATCTTTCTTGGCAACCATCACTCTGTTCTTAAGGAGTTCATAGATGGCAATCTCGTTCTTAGGCATTAACATCACAGCAGTTGCTCGAAGGTGGAGGCAGGAAAGTGAAAATCTGACTCTAAAGTGAAGCACACAACAAACTGTTGAGTGTTCTGAGGATCAAGTTTGATCCCCAGTACCCATGTAAAAGGCTAGATGTGATGGTATGCATCTATAATCCCAGCACTCCTAAGGTGAAATGGGAGTTTACAGGCCAGCTACCCTGCAAACTCAGCATCGGAGTAAGAAAGACCGTACTTCAATAAGACGGAAAACAAGAACCCAACTCCTGAAAGTTGTTCTTTGACCTCTACACACATGCCATAGCTATGTGTTTCATACTGGCTAGTCTTGAAATTATTTCTGTGTCAAAGCCACAGATCCTAGTTTGGCCTGAGTTGAAGTCCCTTAAAAGATTAGGGAAGCTCATTGGACTAGAGGAATAGAGGAACAGAACAGAGGATCTAGAAATAAGCTCAAGCAACTACAGACACCTACCTGATCCTGGAAAAAAGAAGAAAAGAGGAATATTTAGCCTCTAATATCCACATGTAGAAGAATGAAATTAGATCCTTGTCTGTCACTATATAGCTTAAATTGAATTAAAAATCTTTATGTGAAATAACTGATACGTTGAACCGACTACAGGAAAATACTTCAAGATCTAGGCATAGGAGCTAGAAAGATGGCTCAGCACTTAGGAGTACTGCTCTTAAGGAAGACCTGAGTTTGCTTCCTAGCACCCACATAGAGCAGCTCACAACCACCTGTAACTTCTGCTGCAGGAGATCCAACACCCAAATGTGTACACGTGCACACACACACACAAGCACACTTTTAAAAAAAAACTCTTAAACAATCTAGACATTAGTGATTATTTTCTGAATAAGACTCCAAAACCTCTGGAAATAATAAGAACTGAATTCCAAATACCTGAGTTGTCTCATTGATCTGATAAGGTCACTTGGTCCCTTGATGTGCCTGAGTCTACAAAAGAGCTTCCTAGAGTAAAATAGGTGTGACTAACTTGTTCCTAAATACTTGGGGCTGCACATCTGCTGCCCTCTGGTGGCAGTCTGAAGTTGATGAACTTGGGTTCATTAAAGATAGGGCAGAGGGGACACAGCAGGGCTACCAGGCCCAGCTCCCTGTAGAATAACTTTTACTTCCTGGGGCTTTTTAAGCCATTTTTTTTCTCTTTTGCAGCTACATGTCCTGGCATTCTATCTTTATCTCTGAGAAATCAACCACAACTGGGCCCTTGATGACCAACAATACTTATTAAGAACTATCTCTTATCAGAGAGATGCAGCCAAAACTGGAAATAAGATATATTGCCCTCAAAGTAATCAAAATCTATGCCTCATGCCAGAAAAAATTTAACAGCTATATGATAGTGTCTTCTAGGGGGTGCTTTAAGAGCTAACTAACCGAATCGTTTTGGATGGAGTCAAAGGCAATCTTTTGCACCGTGTTTCCTATGATATGACAAATGACCACCTAGACAATGATGAGGAATTCCAAGTCCAGTATCTCACAACGTACAACTAAAGGATGGGAAACACAGGTGGGAAAAAGGCACTAACCCAGGAGGAACATCTGTTCTACTCAGAGGATGAAACTGGTTAGGAGTTCTAAGAACTGATATTGAAGAAATGAAGAACATCAGGCTTTTACCACAAGAAACTTCCTTCCTCTTCTACTTTTCCACCACAATTTGAACTTGAGACAATAAAAAATCAAAAACCCTTGTAAGTACCAAATTACAGGGAAAATGATATTCCGTACATTTTGTCCTCACACCGTGAAGGAGTTCCTTTTTAATAAACTGATATTTTTTTTTCTGAGGAACATTTAGAGTATTATTAACTTATGGGGGTGATTTTTAACCACTTCTCACCTACCTTTGTTATTTCCAGAGAGAGCTACAGGCTCAGCATAAGACTCAGGCCAGTACAGGAATGCCACACGTCTGTGGTGTTTAAGAAATGACTCTGGCTTCTGAAGCTGCATCTAATAAAGGAAAGCAATAGTGGCATGGTGGGCCCAGAGGGCATAGACTTTGGAAAAGAAAAGTCAGTCACCACATGCCCCTTGGTATTTTGAGCAATAATGTTCAACACAGAGAGTTCACTATTTAAAAGTACAGAGTTGTCTAGAAATATTGCAAATGCCAGCTACCAGTTTATGGCCTGTCAGCTCCCCATGTACCTTAATATTTACTCTTCCTTCATTTGGGAAGAATTCTGGAAAGAAAGGAAGAAGAAACCCTAAGCACATATGCACGTGCTACGTGGAATAAGGATCTCTAGGAAGCCTGCCCAACCATCAGTCTGGGCCTAAACAAACCTAACTTTGGCCACCCTTTCTGTAGAGAAGCCTTTGTGGAAATTTGTGGTTGAAAGTGATGTGTATGGGTATCAACTGACTAGGGGTGCATTTGTGATGATAAATCTTGTCAACTTGACACCTCTAGCCCTACCTGTAAAGGTGTTTCCAGAGGTTTAACTAAAGAGTAAAAGATTCACCTTGAATGTAGGCAGCACCAACCCATGGTCTACATTCTCAAACTGAATACACAGAGAAAAGGGAGAAAGTTGAGTACTAGCACTCATCTCAAGTACTAGCATGCTTTCTGACTACAAATGCAGAGACTAGCCACCCATATCACTGCCACTATGCCTTCCCTGCTACAGTGGATTAGATTCTCAAACTCTAAGCTAAAATAACCCCTTCCTTCTTTCTTTTTTTTTCCTGTATGGAAAATGTGTTCCAACACTCCAACCACACATTATTTTTTCTTTTCAACGTCTTTCTCTGCAGCCTCCTTCGGCCTTTTTGCTTGGATGCCAAAGAGCCAGGCATTGGTACGGGCCATGTGAAGACTGGCAAAAGCCTTAGAGTTCTTCTCTTCTTCTGTGATGACTCTGGCTTTTTCCTTTTTGTACACATTCCAGATGGGCATCATAGGTCCTGTTATCTGGGTGGCCAAATTAAGTTCTTCAGCAGAACTGTCTCCCTTCTTTGGAGCAGAAGGCTTCCTGGGGAAAAGTATGAATCACTTCAGGCACTTCACGTTGGCCTGCAGTGATTCAGTGGATTTGTTTTGCTTCCTTGGGTCCACAGAGATGCCGATGATGTGAGCCATTTTCTTGTGGATACCAGCCACCCTGAGTTCTTCCAGGTTGAAGCCCCTGACAGTCCAGACCCCAGCCCAGACCTTGGTGTGGTATCTAACTGTACAAAACCTCACTATGGGCCTGATGGGACTAGATGCAGGACAAGGGGCCATGCAATGTGCTTTTGCCTGCTGGCACTTGCATCTGAAGATCTTGAATGTGGGCTGGTTGAACCAAGTGTCCACTTGCTGCTGCCAATCCTTGTGGAAGTGGAGCTTCAGGATCATGCCATACTGTCTGGGCGCCATGGCTGTCTAAGGTCACAAAGGAGAGAAGGACCTCTACCTTCCTTCTTTTTTTTTTCCTTTTTTAAAAAATTTTGTTATTGGATACTTTATTTACATTTCAGATGTTATCCCCTTACCCCATTACCCCCACACACAGGAACCCCCTACCCCATCCCCCCTGCTCCTGCTTCCATGAGGATGTGCCCTCCCCACTTCCACCTCCCCACCCTCGAATTCCCCCACACTCAGTGTCCAGCCTTCATGGGACCAAGGATCTCCTCTCCCACCTATGCCTGACAAGGCCATCCTCCCCTACATATACAGCTGGAGTCATGGGTCCCTGCCTATGTGCTTCCAGGCTGGTGGTTTAAACCCTGGGAGCTCTAGTTGGTTGGTATTGTTGCTCTCCTCATGGGGCCGAAAACCCTTTCAGCACCTTCAGTCTTCTCTCTAACTTCTCCATTGGGAACCCCTTGATCAGTTCAATGGTTAGCTGTGAGCACCTGCCTCTGAATATGTCAGACTCTTGTAGACCTCTAAGGACACGCTATATCAGGATCCTGTCAGCATGCACTTCCTGACATCCACATCAGCATCTACCTTTGGTGACTGCACATAGGATGGATACCCAGGTGGAATGGTCTCCAGACAGCCCATCCTTCAGTTTCTATCCCACACTTTGTCTCCATATTTGCTCCCTTGAGTATTCTGTTACTCCTTCTAAGGAAGACTGAAGCACCCACACTTGGTCTTCCTTCTTCATGAGCTTCATGTGGTCTGTGAGTTGAATCTCGAGCTTCTGGGCTAATATCCAATTATCAGTGAGTGGATACCATGTGTGTTCTTTTGTGATTGGGTTGCCTCTTATCTCCTTGTACAAAGTTCAAGTCCAAGTGGATAAAGGACCTCCACATAAAACTAGATACACTGAAACTAATAGAAGAAAAGGTGGGGAAGAACCTTGAATACTTGGGCACAGGGGAAAATTCCTGAATTGAACGCCAATGGCTTGTGTTCTAAGATCAAGAATTGACAAATGGGACCTCATAAAATTGCAAAGTTTCTGTAAGACAAAGGATGCTGTCAATAGGACAAAATGGCAACCAACAGATTGGGAAAAGATCTTTACCAATCCCACAACTGACAGAGGGCTAATACCCAATATATACAAAGAACTCAAGAAATTAGACTTCAGACAACCAAATAACCCTATTAAAAAATGGGGTACAGAGCTAAACCAAGAATTCTCATCTGAGGAAACTTGAATGGCGGAGAAGCACCTAAAGAAATGTTCAGCATCCTTAGTCATCAGGGAAATGCAAATCAAAACAACCCTGAGATTCCACCTCACACCAGTCAGAATGGCTAAGATCAAAAACTCAGGTGATAGTAGATGCTGACGAGGATGTGGAGAAAAACAAACACTCTTCCACTGTTGGTGGGATTGCAAGATGGTGTAACCACTCTGGAAATCAGTCTGGTGGTTCCTCAGAAAATTGGACATAGCAGTACCTGAGGACCCAGCTATTCCACTCCTGGGCATATACCAAGGACATATGCTCCACTATGTTCATAGCAGCCTTATTTATAATAGTCAGAATCTGGAAAGAACCCAGATGTTCTTCAACAGAAGAATGGATACAGAAAATATGGTACATTTACACAGTGGAGTATTACTCAGCTATTAAAAACAATGAATCAAGAAATTCTTAGATTGAGAAATTCTTAAATGGGTGTAACTAGAACATTCATCCTGAGTGAGGTAACCCAATGTACCTTCCTTCTTTAACTTGCTTTTGTCAGCTATTTTGTCACATCAATGAGAAAAAGTAACCAATACAACCTATACATCAGATGCCCGGGTGACGTGTTAGACTGTCTTTCCCAGCAATGAAAACACTAGTCATGGAACATAAAAACTGAATAGAAAGAAACAAATATAAAAAGAAATGAATATAAAAAATGTGTTGCTAGTGCAGTCAAAATTTTTGCAGTCTCTGCCTTAATCTCTTTTTTATTATTATAACAAAAAATACGTAGCTGAGTTCTTTATAAAGCTGAGTTTTTTCAGTTCATAGTTTGGCAGGCTGAAAGTCCCATAGTGGATAGCTCCATATCTTTACCTTCCCATGTTTCAAGGTATATGGTGTTACTATGGTAAGAACATGTGAGGAAGAGATCACATGGCAAGGCTAAAAGCCTGAGAAGTTTGGGGGTAGGCTCACTCATTTATTTATTTGACAAGAAGGTATTTTTTATTGCTACAAAAGGCTAGGAGTAGAAGTAAGACTCTCACTCATTAGTATGTGCATAAAGCACTAAAAACAGTGCTTATGTTGTGCAGTCAGCTTTTGTTACAGTTAGTGAAACATGATGTTTTCTAAGCCTGGAGTACTTTCCCCAATCTACTACTTTTCCTAGGAAATGCACAATGAAGAGTTCAAGTAAGGCTTCTATGAACGCTGCATTCATCTTCTCTCTCTCTCTCTCTCTCTCTCTCTCTCTATATATATATATATATATATATATATATATATACACATATATATATATATATGCCCAATGATATATTTTCAGCAACACTATCCACAACAAAGGTGCTTTGTATACACCTAATCACATGAAACAACCACATAGTAAGTCCTGTCCACGTCCCATTTGGCATGTGCACAGTGCTTGATTAGCCACATGCAAGGTTCTAGATTCTACCCTTAGCACAGGGGGTGGGGGGATGCAGGCACAGAAAAGCTAAGTGAATTGTCTTCAGAAATGAACCCAGAAATATGTCTCTCACCCTCATACTGTCACCTCCATCCCACTCTCACTCCTACATCCCTTAATGCTCTTATCCAAGCAACAGGATGTTCTGAAACAACCTGAATATGGATCAACCTTGTCCATCAGGCAGTTTACTATTGAGGCCTGAGCAGCTGTCATGCAACTTGGCCAGGATAGAGTACTGTGTAAGTCATACCTTGTCACTTCTGATGCTTGCTTAGTATGAGACTATGTGAACCTAGATTCATAACCCAGGTCTCATCCAAACAGTGCTACATTTCTATACCATGCCTACACAGGTCTTGATGAAGTAATGCTAACACCAACTTCAAGGGCCCAGTGACAAACAAGACATCCAACTTAATGCTGCAACCAGTGAAATTAGTACCACTTTCTTTTGTCTTCTCTTTCCCCAGGCAAGCTATCCTCCAGGCAGTGGTTCTTACTAGAGTTTCTTTTGTTGCCCATTTCCCCAGGGAAACTTGAAACTGTCTGCAAACATCTTTGATGATCACAACTTTGGATAGAAAAGGATTCTACTGTATATAGAGACTAGAGGTCAGGAAGAGTTGGACAACATATAAGATGTAAGATAGCCCCTATCCCATCACAACGCAGATCACTGAGAATCACCTGATACAAAATGTCAATAATTAAGGAATCCAGTATCACGGGGAACAGTCTCTGAAATGGAGAGCTCAATTTACCTATACTGCTTCAAGACAGCATAGAAAAGCTACTAGCAATGGAAAGGGAAGAGGGTAAAAAACAACTGACAATCACCTTTCCCTTGTGGGCTAATTATCCTGTAAGATGACTGGATTGAATAGACAGTGCATGCTACAAACTCTACATGTTTCCTATTTTTCTCACACATTCTCTGAACATTCCAATTAAGTGCTAACCTAGCTGTGCCAGGGAAGATTACATGGATGTGTTTTAGCCACCAGCTGAGAAGTATGTATCTCAGAGAAATATTTAATGGGATGATGATCAAAAGGCATGCCAGTTGATACCCAGCTCAAGTAATAAGTTAGCACTGCAGTCGAAAAGACAGTGAAATCTTGGTTTTGTTGATTTGTTCAATCAGATGTATAAATCCCTTGCAAAAGCATGGCAGAGCTTGTGTTTCCCCTAAGTACCTGATACCATGGTAAGCCACACTGATTCAGTTACCCTTGAACAGAATCCAAGTTCCAGATAGTCTCTCTCAATTCTCCCAGAGCTTTTATTAGACAGCTGACATAAAACTGGACATGAACACTTGACTGTGCTACAGTAGATCTTGGCTTTTTCAATTGCCCTCTTCAACCTGTTCAGGAGAGATTCAGTGTGGGGAGAGGTGGTAGGTGAGTCTTGGCAGTTCCCTGGTGCTGTTATTTCTCACATGAGGAAAATATGATGGCCATTTTCTGCCTCCTAACTATGGCTGGATTAGAACTACAAGTTTTCTCAGCCGAGCTAAATGTCTCACTGTTGACTCCATGGAAAGATGCAATTTTCTAAACTTTTCTGGCTTTGAAGTCAGTGATGGTGATAACTGCTTAGAAGAGGATGTAGAGGAGCTTGGAGATGAACAGGGTATGATAAAGGATGCATAATGAAGTTGATAGCAATGCCACTATCCCTGCCTTCATTTTGTCCTCTGCTTGGCATATCAAATGGTGTGCTAGTATGATAAAGACCCAAGGAATTCTAATTGTGTTCAGTTTTCCAAAAGGAGGATCTTGGTCTATGTAGTCAAACCAGTCTTGCAAGTTATGTGTATTTCCACAGAAGTCACCCAAGACAATATGGGTACAGCTTCCCATATTAGCATCTATTAGCATATTATAATATTAGCATATTAGCATAATAGAATCTGTGCTAGTGCTAGAAGAGGGAAAGTGCATGCCCAAGCCTCAAATAATTCTTGCTAAATGGCTGCCTCAATGCCCTACCTAGGCTCAGGCTCAATCTTTCTCTCCCTCCCTTCTTATCTCCCGCCCCTGCCCCTTCCCCCTCCCAAAACTATTCTTGAGAGAACTGAGTTCTCCTGATAATTAAATTAATCCCCTTTCCAGGCAGCACCTCCAATGAACTGATCACTTTTCTATTAGGCTTCACCTCTTAAAGGTTCAACCACTTCAACACAGCCACACCCAGTATATGAGCTTCTAGGGAACATACTCAGTATCCAAAGCACTGTGTCTTACCCTGTCATCTTCATATGTAAGCAAGTCAATATGTATGCTCATACTCAAGCACAAGGCAGAGAACAGTGTCCACTGTCTGTCTCTAGAAAATTAAGCAAGGTTCTTCTCTCTGCTTCTGCCTTC